TCATCAAGAAATACCTATTTTATATTAACTTCATATAACATTATTACAAACCGTTACTCGAAACATCATTTTCATATCATTTCATTTTAATAAAGGAATCACAAAAGTTGCTTATTGCATTCGTTTTTAAAAAAAGAACAAAGAAAGTACATTTCCGATGTTTTTTTTTATAGAATAGGGTGACAAACGAGCACATAGTCCACCTGATGTTAAGTGGTTGCTGCGGCCCATAGACATTTACATTTATCCTTGATTACAAAACCAAATACAGATGCGTTGTCAACCGTGAGGACTAAGATGGTCTGCCTCGTTTCCAGTAAAAAGGGTCTTCGGTTCTCTACACTGACTACTATTTCACGCTGGTCTTCTGTGAGAGCGTGGTCCTTCCCCGGTCGAGCCGACCCATTCGTGCTACAACTATATAATTAATATAGCTGCAGCATGGCTCTACCACGTATAAAAAATGTTTCCAATAATAACTAATGATTTTCTATTATTTGCAATAAGCGAAACCAATTTTATTGTAAAATATTGTTTATTACATATGTGATAAGAACTGATTAAAATGTTTGTTGGTAAATTCTGTGTCAGCAATATTTTAATGTCTTACCACCGGCATATTAAGAGAATCCAATACTTCATGTTATGGTAACTACCTAATACACAGATTACGTCGTTGTGCAATCTAAGACTTAATTTTCAAAAAATATAAGTGAAAATTGTACAAATGTGTACGACAAAACATATTGCTCTTGTTTTTCATTTCATTTCATCGATTTGCTGCAAAGAGTATTTAGTCATGTTTTACATACGTTGATATTTATGAAGATGCAATCTCACCGCAGAAGCTTTAGCTCGACTATGATGCATTTTATTTAAGATTTTGCTTGTACAATATCAAAGCGTTGATTTCATTGAAAGCGGAAATTAAACATCAGTGTTGGATATATAGTTTACTAAGGTGTATTCGTAGCTTCAACAACTTTCAACTAAAATAGTCCAGTGCTGTTATCAATCCAAATGGTAAAGTTTAGGAGATAGGACGACTTTTCTGGCTAGAAGTCCGTCTGGATAAGTATCTCTCACTTACCTACTTCTACTGTCATGCAGCTGTGTTCCGGTATGGAGGATACAAGTGTACCAGTTTAATGATTGAGAGGTATATCTTAGTCTTCAAAGGGGACGACGCAGTGTGAAGTCTGGTTTGCTTTAAATTGGCTACAGATGTCCATGGACTGCCGTAGCTACTTACCATCGGGTAATAATTATGTCAGCTCATTTATTGTTTCAGTTTAATAAAAATAGTGGAGCTTAACAAGCGTTTGTTTACTTTAAACTTAAAGTCACAAATTGTAATCAGGTGAAAAGAGAGACAAAAAATATATAATTTTTTTTACAAAAATTGCTTTTTTCTCATTGTAAATTATTTTTATACTTATAAAAATTCATTAAAATAACATTTTTAATCTGATTAGATTTATTAATATTTTTTTTCAGAGAATAAACTTCTTACGAATTTAATGTTAATACTTGTGTAAATAAGGCCCAACATCAATGCGATACATTTAAAAGGATGGCGGCACGGTACTACTTTGATATATAGCCGTACTTTACTTTTTTTTAAAGAAAGTACATCGTTTTATTTACAGGCAGCAATTTATTATACTCAATTTCAGCAGCTCGGTATAAATTAAAAAAAAACCTTATGCTTTTGATATCTTCATTTTCAGATATATGGTTACCTTTGTCTAATGAAATTTGTAGCAGTTACCTGTAAAAATCATTTATCATTCACACAAGTTTTAGATGTGTTGGTAGCCCGATCATTTTATGTAAGGATCAATCTATTATTTTATTATCTTTCTAGCTGCTTTTCCTTAACAATAAACTATATATTATTACATATTAATACCGTGCCGTTACACTTACAGCTTATTAAAGTCCACTGCTGAACAGGTGCGTGCGTGCGTGCGTGCGTGCGTGCGTGCGTGCGTGCGTGCGTGCGTGCGTGCGTGCGTGCGTGCGTGTAATTAGTGTAGTATAGTATACGTAATAGTCCTTGGGAGCGACCTATCTTCAGTAGTAGACTTGTGATGAGCTGTAAGAATGGTGATGATGTCGTTGATGATGATTGTGATAGGCAGGAGGACTTTGAGGCATTCCATCTTAGTCGTCGAAGGGTTTTAATCTTAGTTATCATTTATCTGTAATCGCTTGAAGTTGGCTGCACGTGTTGATGGATTGCAGTTGCAACTTCAATCGCTTGTCACTTTAGTTTTAAATAAAAAAATCTAATGAAATCGACGACTATGTGGCGCAGTGACCTGACATTGAGTTGCGGTGCTAATTACTGCGGGTTTAATTACCGCACGAATCAAGTATTTGTATAGCCCACAAATAATTGTGTCGGGTCTGAATGTTTGTTCTTGTGCAATTTATGTATGTGAACTACCTTTTTTATAGAATATGGGTGACAAACGAGCACACAATCCATGTGAAGTGTGTAAGTGGATGCTGCGGCCCTTAGACATCTTCATTTGTCCTCAATTAAGAATCAAAATGAAGATGCGATGTCACCCTGAGGACTAAGATGGAATGCCTCGTTTTCAGTAAAAAAGGGTCTCCGGATCTCTGCACTCACCTTATGACACACAGCAGCATTAAGTTTCTATTATACGCTGGTATTCTGTGAGAGCGTGGTCCTTCCCCGGTCGAGCCGACCCATTCGCACTACAAACATAACATAGCTGCAGTATATTGCAGTATATAGCAGAATATTGCGATATTAAACACATAGTTTACGATATATGTACAAATTGAAATCTTTCTTATTTGGTAAAATTTTAATATAAATTTTAAAATAATTAAAATATAGGTTTTTATGCGATACTTAATTTCATGTTTATTTTTTAAAAGCAAAGCTTTAAGAATACTCAAAGCGGAAAATGAATGGAAGCAGCTCTTTGCCACTTTGTTTTACAATTCTGAGAACATACTGTATGTATTTAAAGTTGTAGATCTTTTTCAGCTAACTTTCTACGCTATTTCTTTCACTGTTATGTTGTACATAGACGTTCAGTGGTAGCAAGCACTTCGTTTAATTAGTCTGGTTTTTTTAGAGAATATAGATGTAAAACTAATTACGTCCCGAAGGTATCAAAGGCAACATTGGGAAACACCAAACAATCTTTTGGATTCCTATATATGGTATAATCATCTCGTTTACGTCAGCCGTAAAATATCCAGCCCAGAGATAGTAGTGTCAAAGGTGCGAATCTGATATTGTGATCGTCAAACCGAATGAAAAGTGTGGTAAACATGTCCAGCGGTGGCCCTTTTTGCAAGAATGGGTCGGCTCGACCGGGGACCGACCCATTCGTACTACAACCATAAGCACCACGCCCTCACAGAATACCATACATTTTGCACATTTACTATTTGTGCAAGCGGTCATCTTTATATCCTAATCATACGCATCTATGATCGTTATATAGGGTTAACCACTTTCATTACTCGTGTGGGTTAGCGTTAATTAGTTGCATGTCTAACAAGGCAATATAAGCTTAACAATGTTATGAAACCACGCGAATAACCCTTTTAAAACGATAATATATAATATGAGAATGTTTATATTTATTTATTTATTATAATTATAAATATTTAGGTAAATATACCCATTATGTTAGTATACTAAAAACAAGGGTAAATAAGTTATACAAATAATTTATTTATAATTAAACTTATTGGTAAAAATATGGATGATTATTATCGGTCCAGGTTATGTTTGGCCAAATGGGAGAAAGGATTAATTCAAAAAGCATCTTATTAAATACAGCGCGGATAGTATCAAGATTTTTGGATGTTTAACTTCACCGATATCTTAGGATTCCTCACCGCGGTGGATGATAGAAAAAATAATAAAATTATTTCTATAAATTTATTTATTTATTTATAAGGTACACCAACAGCAAAACACATTAAACATTAACAACAACACAATAAAAAATGTATATGGTTAAATATGTTTGCCAATTACAGGTATACACAACATTTACCGTAATGTGCAGATCATTACACCACAATGGCACTGAATACAAAACAACTTACATAAAAAAACTAACTAAGGAATAATTGTGTGCTGAGAGGGTGAAAAGAAATTGGTCAATTTTTTCTTGAAGCATCGGGCAGAGTCGTTGAAAATGTCAATGTCCGGTATCTTGGTCATAATTTCATTGTACGTGTTTTACATATTCTGGCTAGGGGATAACGCGCGCCTAAGTTTGTTTTGTGGCAAGTTATGCTAAATAGTTTGCGAATTGGATATCGAGGATATCTGTACGGGATAACTAATTTAATGTGATCGAGGGGGTGCATACTTTTGATTTTGTTATGCAGTAACTTGTGTAGGAACATTAAGTCTGCAAATGAGACGTCGGTCACGTAAGGTTGTCATTTTGAAAAATGCTAGCCTCTGACTATAGGGGTGTCTATGCGATATGCCTGGAGTTGAAAAGGCAAGGTAGCGTGTAAAAGCTCTTTGAATCGTTTCGATTCGCTGAGAAGACGCACTATAAACTGGGTTCCATGCAACACTTGCAAATTCGAGGTGGCTACGTACTAGTGCATTGAAAAGAACCTCCTTAGTTTGGACACATCGGAAGCTTTTCGCGTTTCTCTTTAGGAATCCCAACATACAAGTCGCCTTTTTGACGATATTTTCAGTGTGAGCGGTCAGTTTCAGCTTACAATCCAACAAGACACCAAGATCCCTGATCTCCCTCACCAGTCATGGGGCGTCTTTTTCTTGTGTAGCTTATGTGGTAGCATTTGTTAGGATTTAACATCATTCCGTTGATTGCACACCAATCCATGAGTTTGTTTAAGTCAGATTGCAGAAGGTCAGCATCCCCGTGACTTTTGATCGCTCTACTCAATTTCAGATCGTCAGCAAACATAGATACACTACTGTTTTCAATATATGTAGCTATGTCATTATAATATCAAAAAGGTAGAGGACACAAGTGGGACCCCTGAGGGTCACCAGACTTAGCCAAAAACATTTCAGATTCAAATCCATCTATAGCCACTTGCTGAGATCTCATTGCCAGGTAAGATTCTAACCACTGCAACAGCGAACCACTTATGCCAAACACTCTTAGTTTAGACAGCAGGGCTTGGTGGCCGACTTTGTCGAAGGCACTTGAAAAGTCTGTGTATATTGTGTCTACCTGCAGTCCCCTGTCCACGTCCTGTGCTACCGCGGCCACGAAGGAAGACAAATTAGACTCTACCGAACGACCACGCCTGAAACCATGTTGGAAATCGGATATAATGTTTTCAGTATGGCTGTAGACTATGGGGTAAATAAGGCATTCAAATAATTTAGAAAAACACGATAAAATGGAGATAGGTCGGTAGTTGGTAACATCAATCTTGTCACCTTTCTTATAAATTGGGATAATTCTGGCTTTTTTCCATTCATCGGGAAACTTTCCTTCGCTTAAGGAGCGATTAAATATTAATGTCAACGGGAAGGCAAGAACGGATCCACATCGTTTCATAAATAGGGGTGGTATGTTGTCAGGCCCAGGTCCTTTTTTTTCATTGAGGTGTTGTATTTTTTTGTACACTTGAGACTCGCTCAATTCAAGTGTAATTACTCATGTTCGCAATATCATGACTATGAGAAACATCGGTAACGCTATTAATGGTGTATACGGAAGAAAAGTGACTTGCAAAAAGGTTCGCTATATCGGTGCCTGAGGATGCAGTTGAATCCTTCAATATCATTTTAGCAGGAAGTACAGAAAGACCTTTGCGCTTATCTTTGATGAAACGTCAAAATTTGTCCGGATCTTTACAGATGCTAGACTCAATTTTTGTCATGTAATTATTATAGCAGATATTAACAAGTTTATGGCATCGTTCGCGAAGAAGGTTGTACTCATTTATCTCTAGGATTGCCGTACTTGGCATATAGTTTTCTAAGTTTTTCCTTATCTTTTTATTAAGTTTTATGAGATTTTTCGTAAACCATGGTGGATTCCGAGTTGGTTTAGAGGTGTATTTGGGTACGTGATTGATAATTTCACTCTTCAGTTTTTTGTAAAATTCAGTGACAAAATCATTGACGTCCTTACAGTCCTTAAAAATGGTAAGCCAATCAGTACAACTCAATTCCAGGATTAACGAATCGTAGTCTGCCTTGTGGTAGTTATGTTTTACACGTGGCTTAGGTAGCAGATTTTTGTCGTATTCAAAATTAAGTTCTGATATTTCAATTAGTATAGGGGGATGGTGCAGATCAAGTTCACTTAACAAATCTAAGGGTTGAGAGACATTTAGGCATTGCAAACTACTTAAGGCCAAATCCAGGGTTCTACCATGTGAATGCCTTATATGGTTGAATTGGTACAGATTATTCATAGACAAGCAGTCCACCAAGCAGTCGACCACGGTAACGGCAGGGCAGGGGTGCTAAGAATCTCCGGTCTAGGTTCGGTTGCCACCTACGACGACTCGATCTGGCAACATATAACGCACGCACTCTGAGGACTGACGAGAAGATACTGGAGCTGGAAGAAGAGGTAGACAAGTTGCGCTGGCATATTATTGGATTATCCGAGGTCCGAAGAGAGGGGGAAGATACGGCAATCCTCGAGTCCGGCAACTAGTTCTATCACCGGGAGGGCGACCATCTGTCCCAAGGAGGTGTCGGATTTATCGTTCACAAGTCTCTCGTCAACAACGTTGTAAAGATTGGGAGTGTGTCGACGAGGGTCGCGTACCTGATACTCAGAATCACCAAACGGTATTCGCTGAAGGTCATACAGGTTTACGCACCAACCTCGGCACATCCCGATGAGGAGGTGGAGGAAATGTATGAGGATATTTCCAGAGCCATGCATTCCTCCAAAACCCACTACACGGTGTTGATGGGAGACTTCAACGCAAAACTAGGCACAAGAGAAAGCGGTGAGCTGAAGGTGGGGAAATTTGGAGTAGGGCAACGGAACCGAAGGGGCCAGCAGCTGGCCGACTTTATGGAAAAAGAGGGACTCTTTATGATGAACTCTTTCTTCCAGAAGCGGCCCCACAGGAAGTGGACCTGGTCGAGCCCCGACGGTTCGATAAAAAATGAGATTGACTTCATTATGACTACCAGACGCCAACTGTTCAGTGATGTCTCAGTGATCGCAAGGGTGAAAACTGGCAGCGATCACCGAATGGTTAGAGGCACACTGAACCTAAATGTTAAGTTCGAGAGGTCTCGTCTAATGAAGTCAACGCTCCGTCCCCCTCGTGCCCTAATCCAGAATCCCGAAACCTTTCAGCTCGAGTTACAAAACCGCTTTCAGTGCTTAGAGGATTGCAATGCAGTGGACGATATGAATGACAAGCTCGTGGAAACTGTCCATGAGGTCGGAGCTAAGTTCTGCAAGACCCGCCGCAGAAGAACACAAAAACTCTCCGATCACACTCTTAATCTCATGGCTGTTAGACGGGAGATGAAGCTGCAATCGTCAACAGATTTGACAGCATACAGGCAACTGAACAGACAGATCTCCAAATGCATGCGGCGAGACTTACGCAACTTTAATACTGCTCGTATTAAAGAAGCGATCGAGCGGAACCAGGGCTCCAAAGTCTTTGCCAGAGATCTGTCTGCCAGAAAGAGCCAACTGTCAAGGCTGAAGACTGAGTGTGGCAACATCGTTTCCGGGACACCTGAGATTCTGAGTGAGATTGAGAGGTTCTATGGGCAGCTGTACACATCATCGTTGGAGCCACACGCAAGTGTGAGTAACGATCCAAGAGCAAGTCTTATCCGACACTATTCCGATGATATCCCGGACGTCAGTCTGAGCGAGATTAGAATGGCTCTCCACCACCTTAAAAACGGCAAGGCCCCGGGCGAGGATGGAATTACAGCGGAGCTTCTGAAAGCGGGTGGAACACCGGTACTTGAAGTCCTTCAGAAGCTCTTCAATTCCGTCCTCCACGGTGGCACTACTCCAGAGGCGTGGAGCAGAAGCGCGGTGGTCTTGTTCTTTAAGAATGGCGACAACGCTCTCTTGGAGAACTACAGACCGATTTCCCTTCTGAGTCGCGTCTACGTGCTGTTTTCGAGGGTCATTACGAATCGTCTCGCACGCAGACTCGACGACTTCCAGCCTCCCGAACAAGCCGGTTTCCGAAAAGGCTTCAGTACCATAGACCACATACATACCCTTCGGCAAATTGTACAGAAGTCCGAAGAGTACAATCTGCCACTTTGCCTGACGTATGTGGACTATGAGAAAGCCTTTGATTAAGTCGAAATTTGGGCGGTGCTACAGTCTCTTCAGCTGTGCCTAGTTGACTATCGGTATATTGAAGTGCTGAAGTATTTGTACAGTAGGGCTACGATGGCTATCCGAGTACAGAACCAGAGTACGAAACCTATCCATCTGCAGAGAGGTGTAAGACAGGGTGATGTTATATCCCCGAAACTCTTCACCGCTGCGTTGGAAGACGTTTTCAAGCTACTGGACTGGAAAGGATACGGCATTAACATCAATGGCGAGTACATCACTCACCTTCGATTTGCCGACGATATAGTTTTTATGGCAGAATCGCTGGAGGACCTTAGCACTATGCTCAATGACCTCAATGGTGTCTCCCAACGGATAGGTCTTAAGATGAACATGGACAAAACAAAGATCATGTTTAATGTCCATGTCACACCTATGCCGGTAGTTGTCGGGAGCACTATGCTCGAAGTTGTTGACGAGTACGTTTACCTGGGACAAATAGTCCGACTAGGTAAGTCCAACTTCGACCGAGAGGTCAATCGACGGATTCAACTCGGCTGGGCAGCGTTCGGGAAATTACGACACATCTTCTCGTCAGGTATACCTCAATCTCTGAAAACTAAAGTGTATAACCAGTGCGTGTTGCCAGTGATGACTTACGGATCTGAGACGTGGTCCTTCACCGCTGGCCGTATGAGGACGCTCAAGGTCGCTCAGCGAGCTATGGAGAGGGCTATGCTCGGAGTTTCACTGCGTGATAGACTCAGAAATGAGGATATCCGCAGTAAAACCAGAGTGACCGACATAGCCCAACGGATTAGTAAGCTGTAGTGGCAATGGGCCGGCCATATAGCTCGAAGAACCGATAACCTATGGGGAAGAAAGGTTCTCGAGTGACAGCCTCGTACCGGTAGGCGTAGTGTAGGGCGACCCCCCACTAGATGGAGTGACGACCTGGTAAGACATGTAGGAAGTCGATGGATGCAGGTGGCTCAGGACCGTGCTTCGTGGCATTAGTTGGGGGAGGCCTATGTTCAGCAGTGGACTTGTGAAGGGCTGTAATGATGATGATGATGATGAAGCAGTCCACCAGACAGCGTCCTAAGTCATTATAATTAGTAGGAATTGTGTGATTGCAGTCATCGTTAAACTCCCAGTCGACAAAATTTTGATTAAAGTCACCCATCACAATTACGTTATAAATATGGTTCAGCACACTGTCCAGATTATCTACGAAAACCCTTTGTTGCTCCAATCTGGGTGGCGATGGTAAGTATACTGCACAGATAGAAAGAGTGGAATATGAGCCATTTATTCTGTATCCAATGTTAATCCAAAGGTCTTCGCAATCAGTTTCCCAGTTAGACATTCGCGTCGGCTCTGACAGCCGCGACATGTTATACTCCCGTTCGCTCGGGCCCTTAATGGCGGGAAAATTTGTAAGTTAGAAATTTTTTGCTATATTGCAAATATTGCTATATTTTCACTTTGAGACAATATTTACGGATCAAACTTACAGGAATTCTTCTTGAATGTATAAACTATCGAATAAAATTATTTTTGGTTGGTAGAAATTGTAATAAAATACATAAATTACCTTGTATAGCATAGTAGTAGTATATCCTTCAATTTTAGTGACAAAATTACTACTAATTTGAATTCTACACATTTGTTTTTGGAAAAATTTATATGAAAATGTTTGGAAATATGTATATTTTTATGTTTTATGTGTTTCTATTCGTTACTCATACCAAAATATTAAAATATAAAAAAATAAAAATAAAAAAATAATAATATTTTATCTGTATGACATTTCGAACAATATTTTAAAATATTTTTGTGTGAATTTGAAATAAATACAACGTCAAGTTATTTGAAATATGTAAGAAAACTATTTTTACTTACATTTTACACTAAAAATAAATGAGAATTTGAAAAATAACACATTTATGACCCAGCCGCCAAAATGGGCCTTCCGGATTTTGAAGTACTTTTGGCAATTTACTTTTCACTTTTTATGCCACAAATTATATATCTACGTGTTTACTATATTACGAGGAATATAAAAAAGTATAATACTTTCGTTTTTAGTCCAGACACAAATATAAAATTCTATAAAAAATACAGAGCACCTTCATCAAAGCGACACGTGGAACGCCGAAAGTTCAGAGTGATTTCTTTTTTTTTTCTTCTAAGAAACATTGCCAGGTTAAGGTTCAAAATAAAAGAGCATATCTTTGTCTTTGATACTATTATCTATTGCATAGTGTCTTTGGTTTTGTTTAAAACGAAAAAATAGTTTTTTCATAGGGCAGTAATTCTAATCTAATTAGTGCTCTTTTGGAGCGGACGTAAGGTAGGTATTGTATAATCTAAAGTGCGCATCTCTTGAAGCAACTGGTTCCGCCACCATCGCCACAAACGCCATCTTGGAGCTTGAAGCCTGGATCCCTACGGTATACAACATATCTAGAGTCAATGAATTCACTGTCTAAGATACTTGCATTTAGCCATGTTTCGGTAAAGATGATTATCTTATAACTATTTACTAATATGTTTTTGTACACTTCATTAGTCTTCGTTCGTATCCCACGGATATTTTGATAATATATATCGAATTTTATAACTAAACTTTGTAACACTCGCTAATCATTAACCTAACTATTTAATTAACGTTACACTGTCCATATTACGAATTAACAATGCCTCGCTGTTTTCATAATTCATCCTTCCGTACAAAGATTCGGCCATTTCGTACCCAAGTGAACTTATATTTGCATTCCTTGGCTTTGATTCGTGCGGTAGCATGCAAATACTTGTTTGTTGGAGACAGATGTTCAGAGACGAAGACTGGCTTACTAATACCAGCAAGGCCGAGGTGTTGAGAGCTTAGTTTATCCTTGTTATTCTTTTTGTTAAACGCAGATACCGAAGCAAGAATAGCATCACGTTGTCTGGGTGCACGCAGCTTCACTATCACTGCACGTGGCCGATTGCTGTCTTTGCTCAGCTTAGAAACCCGTGTTACATGAATAATCTCCTCAGCAGATACTGGAGCATCTACAGTTTTAATGAGTTGTTCAACAACATTGTTTAAGTTCTCGTGTCTGTGTTCCGGAATGCCATTTATTTCGATATTGCTGTCTCTCATATTTTGTTCAACTAGGTGGAGCCGATGCGTCAATTTGTCTACTGCTAGATTCAGCTTATCATTGTCCCTTCTTAAGTTATCGACTAATGTATTCCTTTCGTCCAAAGCCAATTTTAAATCTTCATACTGCCTGTTGAAAAACGTTAGAGATTCCCTCAGTTCCTTGATTTCGCCCGACATATTCTTTATCTCTGCGGTCACAAGCTGCCTTATTGTTAAACGAAGTGCTCCCGCGAGTTCCTGTTGAAGTATGCTTCTCAGCTTAGTTTCAGTAATGTAATCGCCGCCATTTCCAGGTTCCTCTGATGAGCAGTCAACGAGAGAAATTGACTTTGCCAGATCGCGCTTCCTCAGGGCGACATTTCCGGAGTGCGGTCCCAAGTTTCCAGTACCACAGGTGTTGCCAAGGTCTCCGGTTTCCACAAGGTCGCGACGAGCAGCAGGTTGGATGGGGCTGTTAGTATTATCCACTTTAGGTTGCTTACTGCAACATTCTGGACACTTCCAGCTATGCTTGCGATCTTTGTCAGGTGCATAAAAGCTATTAAAGCGGCTTTGAGATATATTGGCACAGTTTAAATCATATTTCATTTTGCATAAAGCGCATACCAAGAACTCACGGTTCTGTATGATGCTGCGGCAGCCAGAACATATACCAAAGTTACTCGCAGTTGATGCCATTTTTCAATCGTTAAACATTCAAAAAGCAAAAAAAGCAATTCGTAGTAAGCAAAGGTAGTAAAAAACAAAAAAAAAGTTTTGTGAACTTGCTGGGCTTGAACTCGGTGACTTAGGTCGAAACGCTATGCACAGTGAAGTATTGCCCACTGCACCAATCGTCTCGCTACGCAGTTACGTGAAACAAGCGATATGTATTCTCGCCTACAGTTGTATAATGTCGACAACGATGAGCAATCCAAGTCTAACTTTCTATTTTCAAGGACACGTCGCGAACGAACACGACACCCGATGATACCCAATTGAATTATTACACTTGATAACGTATATTTATAGTGAAAATCACTTGATTATCTCTATTAAATGTTCATGTTTTATTCAAATCACTGCACACACCGAAACGTTCAATATAGGGGGGTGGGATTTAAGCTAAAAATACACCAAAATAACGTGATAAGACTTCTTTGGGAAATAAAATAATGAGCGTGACCTACAACCGCTCGGGTAACAAATATATATATATATATATATATATATATATATATATATATATATATATATATATATATATACATATATATTCATTCCGCTGACTTGATTTAAGTGGCTTCGAACTCTGGGAATAAGATTGGGTGGTGGGAATAACCACGCTAGTTTGTAGTGCTACTGGTGACAAAATGCGTCATGATGTTGTGCTTGCTTGTCCTGAATATTCATTGAAACATACTTCAGGTCACGTGAGCAGTACTTGATACAAATAGGTCCATCTCCGGTGTGTCCCACATTCAAAATATTTTGAATGTCGCAGCTATTGTAAGGTGCCACTCGGGGCAAGCCTTTAACGTGATAAAGCGTCCACTACGACATTTAATCTGCCTGGAAAGTACTGGGCCTGAAGATGTAAATTGAATTTATCCAAAAGTGCAAGGAGTTGTCGAGTTTGCTCGAGAATCTTTTTGGACTTGCTTCCGCCTTCGTTGTTTATATAAGATACCGCTTTTCGATTGTCTGTCTGAAGAAGCACTTGAGAGTTCTGTAGCAGATTTGGTTCGTGTAATATCGCTGCAAGAACAGCAAACCATTTCTTTTCTGTTTGCGCGCCCCAGCCGATATCTGAAGCATCGGTTGTTAGGAGGTGAGTTACTACTGCATTCATGTGTATCGGTACAGATTGACCTACAGCTTGTAGCCACCACTCCATCTCGGATTGAACTGTTAGTGGAATACTCCCTTGGCGGTAAGGGTGGTCCTTTGACAACTGTCGACTGAAGTATTGCAGTGTTCGGCAGTGAAGCAGACCTCTCCGGGTTAAGTAAGTGGCAAAATTGAGTCTCCCCATGAGATCTGATACTGTATGAGGAACCACTTGCCTTTTAAGAGCTGTTGCTGAAGTGCGTTGCGTAGCGTTAAGCACTTTTTCTCCGATAAGGACTTCGCATTGAGTTTTGTGTCCCATGTTATGCCTCAAAACTCGAGGCACTGTGTCGGAATCAGCAAGATCTTTTCAAAATTTATTGTCCAACCTAGTAACTGCATGATCTTTATCGTTAATGATATATCTTCTTGTAGTTGTTGCATCGACTGGCTTGCCAATAGAAAGTCATCCAAATAAACTACACATCTGATGCCCCGATTCTTGAGAAAATCTGCTAACCACTTTGTTATTGAGGTAAACGTTCTCGGTGCAGAGGAAAGGCCAAAGTATAAGCAGGCCATCTGGACCAGTTGGTGCTGGTTTGAATTGATGTGATAATTTAGTCTCAAGTATCTTCGATGACGCCGAGCAATCGGAACATGAAAGTAGGTAGGCTGGTAGGGTGTATGTCTAATTTTGTCATCCAATCCTGATGCTGCAGGAAGTTGGGTACTCGAAAGTGGCGGAACAATCTGAAAGGTTTCGTTTTGACGAACCTGTTCAGTTGTTACAAATTGAACATTGGACGATAGCTGCAGTCTAGTTTTGGCACCAAAAAGAATGTAGAAAGGAAACTGGCACTCGGCTCCGCCTGTTCGAGTACTCCGGACTTTAACATACTTTGAATTTGACGAGTCATATTTAAGGAAATTTTGGTCCTGTAGCTCTGAATCACAATTTGATTTGGAAGTATTAGAGTCGCCTTGAGTATGAATGGGATGTACGAGCCACTTAATAGTCTTCATATTTGTTCCGGCGAGCCTAAATTCCTCAAAACACTTAGAAATTGTTTCAGACAGTCGCCATAAAATTTTTGACGAGTCATCTTACGTAACGACGGTCATCTTTAAAGGAGGAATGCGACTGCGATTCGAAACATCAGCTTATTTACTCGTCGATGGCTTTTGATTTGCATAAAAATTTCTTTTTGAGTACGAGGCATTGATCGGGATCAAATGATCAATTTATCTGACCCTCCAATTTTCTGAAGTTGGGTCTGAATGGAATCGTCGTTGAACAGAGTTTCTACGTTAAGAGGGATTTTTTGCAAAACCTCGCGATGATATTCGTCAGGAATCTATCGCAGTAATGAACCTCTGCATAAGCTAACAAGATCCGCTCGTCTACCACAAACTATTTGAAAGAAATCTTCAGTTACTTTGCTATATGGTGATTCCATAGAAAATAACGTTTTTTTATCAAATAATGTATTTAGAGTCAATGTTTGTTGAGATTCACTGGCCCAATCTACTAGTGCTTGTAATGCTCTTTGTAATTCCCCTTTTTTGGCAAAGTAAGGCGCTAGTTAATACGGCGAAGGAACGTTCTAGCAAATAAGAACGAGGATCATCACGCAACATTGCATATTCAAATAGTTTTAGCGAATCATTTACAGCAAGTTCGACAAAACCTGGGTAGATAAATATTTTTTCTGGGCATCAATAAATCGTACAGCATACCAATCATCACAATTAAAACGCTGTAATTCTACTAATTTCTTTAAATGTATTTCATTTGCACGTGGATAAATGGGATCTTTTACCGTGGTACTTAAATCTGATAACTTGAGCTGGTTTATTTTGTCACCGCCTTCTGTTGTAGGTCGGTGCAAGTTAAGATTAAGTGAAGGGACAATTTTTTGATTTTGGCATGTAACTCCACCAGATTTTGTAATAATATTAGTTAAAAAGGCCACTTGCTGGGATAAAAAAATGTTCATTACACACGGTTTGATCCATTTTTCTTTTCTTGTGTCTCCTTGTTCGACTGCAAACACTGTTTTCTGACGAATCACTGCTATCCGAACTCGATGATGAAGTAAGCACACGTTTTTGAGAATTTAATAATGTAACTTCGTTGACACTTTGTTCCTCCATATTTTAACAGATCAACAGTTATTTATCACTTAGTTTTAGTAAAATTGAAACTTTTTCGTGCTTACAAAGGCTGACTTGTGAAAGGTGCGAAAAACAACGCTATAATGACGAGACCTGGTTCTCAACACCACTTAAATAACAAAGCATAAACAGTGGTGGGGTGCCACCTCCATGCAGGTAAGGTAGTCGGAAGTGCTGAATTTAGGCGGAACGACAAGAGCTCGAATCAAGATGGATTCCGGATATTGATACATAACAAATAATATTGCAATTTTGGGACTTTATATTTAATAAAAATATTGTTATACGTGGTAGAGCCTTACTGCAGCTATAATATTATGGTTAAGGTAAAGGACCATGCTCTCATAGAATACCAGCCTAAAATAGCAGCTTAATACTGCTGTGTTTCGTATGATGAGTGTAGAGATCTGGATACCCCTTTTTACTGGAAATGAGGCATTCCATCTTAGCCCTCAGTTGTGACAACGCATCTGCTTTCTGATTCTTAATCGAGGATAAATGTAGATGTCTATGGGCCACAGAATCCACTTACCATCAGGTGGACTTTGTTGTCGTTTTTCACCATATCCTATAAAAAACATAGATATCCAAAATACAGATTCACTGCTACGCCTAAAGTATTACAGCAGCAAACGAGCTTGTAACCCACTTACAACGAAGAGAATTGCAAGTTTAAAGAATAAGTTCATTTTTTTTAGGCGGGAAGACATTTCTGCCCTAGACCTTTCAGCCGTCTGGGTAGTGCAAGTTATTACGAAATGTTTTTGATATGGCTTTCTTCTTATTCTTCATCGGCCCAAAAGTCCACTGTTAAACGTGAGCCTCTCCCATTGTGGATGGCTTTGCCTTGTAGTGATAATTACAGTACCAGATCTCTCGCACCTTGAAGTTGTGATCATGAGCAGACAAACCGCTATCTATCGGAAGTCATGAGATCATTTTGGTACTTGCCATAGGATAGTTTCCCTTACACTGTCCCATAAGATGAATAATTAACATGTTGCATGAAACTTAGTGTGACTTCTATTTTTTTAAAGAATAAGAGTGACATACAACCACATAGTTTATCTGGTGCTGTGACCCATAGATATAAACATCTATAGTTAATTTAGAATAAAAATAAAATAAAATTAAATAAACTGTAAAAATAAAACTGAAATGACGAATGAGTTTATATTACAGGTTTATTCGATAAGTAGCTACTGCAGTCTGTGAAAACCTGTAGTCAAACTGCGCACAACGTACCTGAAAGGAAGTGAATGCTGTGGTCCATAGAAATCTAAATATATCCTCGACTATGAATCAAAATGGAGATGCCTAAGTACTAATGTGGAATGCCTTATTTTTAGTAAAAAGGGGTTTCGCTCTCTTCACTCACCCAACGAAACACAGCAGCATTAAGCTGTTTGTTCACGCTGGTATACTGTGAGCGCGTGATCAACTTCGGTTGAGCTGATGCAATCGTGCTCTTGCAGTCCCTTATAATTTACTAAGTCACAATCAATAAGTACATTTAATTTAATAATGTGCTCATATATATCTTTATTTCTACTGCAACAGTCGAGTCAGTTCGCAGCTGGACATAGTTTTAGTCATTCAATGAGCATCGACTGTAATGTAAAGGAAAAAATTGGACGCAATATCGAATTTCGCCACCATACTAAAACACGACAAAACACACTCTATCACGT